GTTTTCAAAAATTTCTTAAAGAAAGTTCAAAATGAAAAAGAAACAACCATAGTAGCCATAAGAAGCGACCATGGGGGAGAGTTCGAACGAAATCTGTTTTCAGATTTGTGTGACGAACTTGGCATTGATCATAACTTCTCAGCCCCACGTACACCACAACAAAATGGAGTGGTGGAACGTAAAAATAGATGTCTCGAAGAGATGGCTAGAACTATGATCAATGAGGCAAAAATCCCTAAGTATTTTTGGGCGGATGCCGTGAGTACCGCGAGCTACGTGTTAAACCGAGCCGTTATTCGACCGATACTCATGAAAACGCCCTATGAACTATACAAAGGGAGAAAGCCAAACCTTTCCCATCTTCGAGTCTTTGGTTGCAAATGTTTTATTCACAACAATGGCAAAGACAATTTAGGCAAATTTGATGCCAAGTCGGATGAAGGAATTTTTCTAGGTTACTCATTACGTAGCAAGGCCTATAGAGTCTTCAATAAACGTACCTTGACTATTGAGGAGTCTCCTCACGTTGTATTTTCCGAAGATAACCCTCGCTTGGCGAGAAAGGATATTTGTGATGATCATGCAGATTCATTAGAGAGAATACACGTTGATGACGATGAGGAGAACACGGGAATTTACACCAACACACAGCCACAAACTGAAGAAATACCTCAAGAAGCTAACCAAGGTGATGAAGAAAGACAAGAGGAAGAAGAAGAACAAGCGGAACACGAAGAAGAAGAAGAAGCAACCGAGCTTCCTATGGCATGGAGAACAAACAAGAACCATCCGCTTGACCAAGTAATCGGTAGCATCAACCGCGGGGTAAGTACTCGTAACTCACTTAGGGACACCGTAGGACACATGGCTTTTGTTTCTCAAATTGAACCTACAACCATTTCCGAAGCAATAAATGATGAACATTGGACCTTGGCTATGCAAGAGGAACTAAACCAGTTCAAAAGAAATGACGTTTGGGAATTGGTGCCAAGACCCGATGATCGTACGGTTATTGGTACGAAATGGGTGTTCCATAACAAACTTGATGAAAATGGAATAATCACTAGAAACAAAGCTAGGCTCGTAGCTAAAGGCTACAATCAAGAAGAAGGCATTGATTTTGAAGAAACTTATGCACCCGTAGCACGTTTAGAAGCTATTCGTTTACTTCTTGCTTTTGCCTCGTCTATGGATTTTAAACTTTATAAAATGGATGTTAAGAGTGCCTTCCTCAATGGGTTTATTCAAGAGGAAGTGTATGTTGACCAGCCCCCGGGGTTTGAAGACTTTGAGTTTCCCGACCATGTCTTCAAACTCAAGAAAGCGCTCTACGGTCTTAAACAAGCACCTCGTGCTTGGTACAAACGTTTGAGTAAAGTTCTTTTGGATAGTGGTTTCCAAAGGGGAAAGGTTGACACTACACTTTTTATCAAGAGTAAAAACAAAAACATCCTTTTGGTTCAAGTTTATGTAGACGATATTATATTCGGTGCTACTAACGAGTCTTTGTGCAAGGAATTCTCAACGTTAATGACAAGTGAATTTGAGATGTCTATGATGGGTGAGCTTACATTCTTTTTGGGACTCTAAGTCAAGCAAATGAAAGATGGCACGTTCATTTGCCAAACCAAATACTGCAAGGAGCTCCTAAAACGATTCGAAATGGAAAACGCCAAAGCAATGGCGACCCCGATGAGCACGTCCGACCATCTGGACAAAGACGAAAAAGGTAAGGAAGTTGAAGTCAAAAAGTATCGAGGTATGATCGGATCCCTTCTCTACCTTACCGCTAGCCGGCCGGATATCATGTTTAGCGTATGCCTTTGCGCAAGGTATCAATCATGTCCGAAGGAATCACACTCAACGGCGGTGAAACGGATCATGAAATACCTTGTAGGCATGGTTAACGTTGGACTGTGGTATCCAAAAGGCTCTTCGTGTCATCTCGTTGGTTACTCCGAGTCGGACTTTGCCGGTTGCAAATTGGACCGCAAAAGTACGAGTGGGACTTGCCACTTACTTGGTAGCTCTTTAGTTTCATGGTTTAGTAAGAAACAAGTCAGTGTTGCGTTATCCACAACCGAAGCGGAATACGTTGCCGCCGGTAGTTGTTGTGCTCAAACTCTTTAGATGAAGCAACAACTTGTGGACTATGGCCTTAGTATCAGTCACGTTCCACTTCGTTGTGACAATACTAGCGCCATAAGCTTGACGAAGAATCCCGTTCTTCATTCAAGGACGAAACACATTGACATTAGGCACCATTTCATTAGAGATCATGTTCTCAAAGGTGATGTCGAAATTGAGTTTGTTGAAACACACAACCAATTAGCCGACATTTTCACAAAACCTTTAGAGAAAGAGTCGTTCTTCCGCATTCGTAGTGAACTCGGAATCCTTGACTCCACGATGATCTAATTTGTGCATTTTATCATTCTTTTATCTTTACTAGAACGTTTACTAACTTGAGCGTCGGAGGGTTTTCTAACTCTTTTTTGCAGGGACGGTTCGAAGTGAAGAATTCTAGAAATCAGGGGGAACCAGCGATGGGTGGGCTATACCATCGCTGGGAGGGAAGTTTTCTTTTTTTCAGAACCCCTCTTCCCATCCATGGGTGCTTCTTCCCATCGATGGGTAATTGACTCTATTTTTTTTAAAACGTCTTAACGTATTTCCAGAAACACCTTACCTATCGATGGGTACTTCATCCCATCGCTGGGTGAAGGACTTTTGTCAAAAATACTCTTTCTAGAACCTCCCCTCCCATCGATGAGAACTTTCTCCCATCGCTGGGTGTTTGACATTTTTTTTTAAAAGGCTTTATCGGTTTTCCAGAAGCCACCTTCCCATCGATGGGAAAATCCACACATCGCTGGGAAGGCAACTTTATTTTCTTCCGTGCTTTCCAGTGGTGACCATCCCATCGATGGGCAGATCATACCATCGATGGGAGCCTACCGAAGTTCAAAAAAAAAATTACCGTTGGGCACAAAATTAAATGCCCAACAGCTATATTTTTGAATTCAAACGGCCCTCCACCTCTATCCCTATATATTTCTATCACTTTTGGCCATTTTTTCACACTTTCAACTTCACAAATTGCATTCCTATAGCATAATCTTCATAACTTCTTCATATTTTTTTTCTCTTTTGTCTCAATGGCCGGAGGAAAGTCCAAGAGTAAAGCCTCAAAGAAGAAGACCAACATCGAAGCAACGTCCTCTGCGCCCCAGCCGTTTCCATACCTGGACAGATCCTTCTTGGAGTTCAGCTCGGAGGAAGAACTCACTCGCTTCATCACCCACTTCGCCAAATGCCCTATCTCTCCGCCCAGGGTGCTGCCCGAGCTGTTTCCCTAGAAAAAAGGGTACCACGACCTCGACAATCAACTCAAAGAGTCGGGTCTGTGGCCGTTCGTCTCCAAAAGCCGTCAGTCCTTCAATCCCGCCTACGTCCGGGCTTTCTACTCCAATCTCCGCCGGGACGGGGACACCATTCGCAGTAGCATCAATCTCTACGACATAGAGGTTGATTTGGCTACCTTTGCTCGGGTCGCAGGGCTGCCCACCCGTGGTGACGACATCGCAACATATGGCGGCGATGATTTGATCCTCAACAACGAGGCGGTGGTCATCCGAGAGCTTGGAATCACCAACCTCATCCGTCACAGCGGCGCACCAACCATCCACTCAGCCCCACTAGAGAAGCGTCTTCTACTCTACATCCTCTCCTGGATTCTTCGCCCCCGGGACGGTTGCCACACGTGTCTCTTCAACGAGGATCTCAAGGCCGTTCATGCTATCACCCATGGCGCCTCGATCAATTGGGTGAAATACATCATGATTCAAATGGCGGACTGCGCCTCCATCACCAACGAGCGGAGCTTGCCATACGCCTTCCTCGTCATGGATCTCATTGGTGCATCCGACATTCACATCGTCGGCCTGGACACGAAGATGACGAAGATTTGGATCATCGAAGACAGCACCTTCCGGAAGAAGTCCGGTGACAGAACCGGCGCAGGTCCCAGTCAGGCTCCAGCCCCCGATCCCGCCAAGGCATCCTTACAGTCCATAGCCGATACCCTGAATCGGCTAACCGTCACCGTGCATGGCATGGGGCAGTACCTGGAAAGGATGGACTGGACGCTGCAACGCCAACACCACGACATGACAGCGTTCTTCCGTGGCATCAACTACGTCCCGCCGCCCTTTGACACCACCTTCCTTGGGCAGAACTATGAAGGCGAGGACGAGGAGGACAACTCCTATGCTCCGTCCTCCTCCCCCGACGAAGCCGACTTTGAGGACGCGGTCGATGGGGATGCTATGGACGTCGAGGACGACGAAGAAGACGATGACGCCGAGAACGAGGACGCTGATGCCTAGACTCTTCCTTCTCTCCTTTCCCTACTTTCATTGCAATTTTTTTTTATCTATTTCAATTCGGTTGTATTCAGCATTTTCTCATCTTTTAATGAATAAAAGTTTACTTTTAATTCCTAAAGTTCACTTTTAATTCTTTTTGTTAATGTCAAAAGGGGGAAGATATCAAGGTTATGCATAAATTGAGGGGAATTCTTTTTCTAAATAAAATGGAATCTATTAAGGGGGAACATTTTTTTAAGTCTCAAAGCCTTTCTCATATGCATAACCTCATCTCGTTTGCCATTATCAAAAAGGGGGAAATTGTTGAAACACGGGCATGTCACGTTTTCGTACTAAAGCCGTGTTTGTTTTTATGACAGGTTTTGATAATGCCAAACCGCCGTGATCAAGTCAAACATTGAACATACAAGGCAAAGAATGAAGATAAGAAGAGCTAAAAGAAGACCAAGAACAAAGACCTTAGTCTTAGTGTCGTTGAGTCGGTCTTCATTGTGATCAGGACTGACCCAATCTTTACACCTTGGCTCTTTAGGCTAAAATCCTTCATTGCATTTCTTAAATCATAAAAATGTTTTTCAAACTTTTTTAAGTCATTAAAAACACTTGGTGTTCGCCCAAACCAAAAACCAAACCATCCAGCGTTCGGGTTTCAGAAACCGGCGTTCGGCTTTCGGTTATCGGCATTGGTTTTTGGCGTCTGAATCAACCGAGTGGTTTTCATATTTTTATGATTGTTTTTCACTCCTTGGCATGTCTAAATGGTTCTCCAATAAAAACACCTTAAAAACCATCTTTCGCTTTTGGTCGTTTGACAAAAATCTTTCAAAACGGCATAAACTTGGCTAGCCGTGTTTTTCACTCAAATGAAGTGGTTTTTAAAGTGTCTTACTTGATTTCTTAGCCAAATACATCAAATGAGTGTTTTAAACACTTGGTTTTTATTTTGGAGAACTTTGGATTTTTCGGTCGGTTTTTGCATCGGTTGGCTAGGCCGTGGTTAAGGCAAAAACCTTGGATTCTTGACTAACCACCCACCCAGCGATGGGAAGATCTTCCCATCGATGGGTAAGCAGTCCCTTAGCCAAACCAATTTCCAGAACCATGCCAAACAGCGATGGGAAGTTCTATCCATCGCTGTTCAAGCCTTGGTGCAAAATTAACACAAGGGAGAACCACCTTGCCCAGCGATGGTGAGGATAAACCATCGATGGGAAGGGATGACCGTTGTAGGTCATTTAAGGTTGATTCTTTCCTTGTTTGGAAGTCAACCTCCCACCCAGCGATGGGAAGCTTGTACCCATCGATGGGTAGCCAATATCCTGCAGATCCCAAATCTTTTCAATCCCATAAATCAAGCCAATCACCCCTTTAATGCATTGGTCCGTTGGAGCCAATTTTGGCACTATAAAAAGGGGTGTTTGGGTCTGCTTTTCTCACCAATTCACTTCACAACATCTATACTTTCTGATGGACAATAAACCCACCAAATGATCCGATTCAAAGAGCGGATCGTAAGAACAAAATTAAGAATGAGAATTCGAGAATTGGATATATATTATTAGCTTGATCTAGCTTGAGTTCTCCCCTCTCGGGTCTCATCTATTTATACATGAGCTCTAAACCATTAAGGTAACGCATAATCGATGGAGTCTATCCCGCCAAGGGCCCGATCCCCTTTTTTCGGCTCCGTAACCGCCAATATGCTCCGTCTTGTTCTCCGGATTGACTCTGCCAGCTGCCCTTGGCCTGAGGTTAACCAGGCTTAGCTCCACGAGCCGGCCCAAGCCTGGGTATTCTCCAAATGCCTGGCCCGAAGTTGTGTAAATGGTTCATTTGGGCCACCCACTGGGTATTGGCCCATCATAAGCCCTCCAACTCCTTATTCCTCAACTGGGCCAAGTGGAGGAATGGGGAGTTTACAAAGTCCACGTGGGTGCCCCAGCGGGGATCCGGGCCGTTCCTTGGGTTCCGCATGACATTTGGGCACGATCTCCACAAATAGGCAATCATGACCTGCCGATTCGCCTCCACGCTGTCAGTTAAAAACCGCCGCTGGACACCATCTCTTTCTTTCGCTTTCTTTATCGTCATTCGTCTGCAATTCCGCTGCTTACCCGACCTGTTCTTCTTCCTTCCCAGGTCAGTTCCTTTTCTCGCCGCCATGATTGTTTCAGATTCCGATTCAGCTACCCCATCGTCCAATTCTCGCCAAGCCGATCAATCGGCCCCTGGCCGTAACCCCGGCCGCACTCAATCACCCCAGCCGTCGCCGTCGGCCTTGCCTGGCGACAAACGGCGTCGATTGAGGAAGCAATTCCCTTCCTCAACCCCGGTAGATGAGGGCTCGAGGGTTGAATTGGACGAAAATATCATGGCGCTGTGCCATTGCCAGATTACTGACCGGGGGTTCGCCGATGCTACCGATATGGTTGGATCTTCCATTGAAGTCCTAAGATCTACCAGCACCCAAACCGCCCTGGACGCTCCTTCAGGATTTTTTACGGTCCATCTGGCGTCTTTGAAGAAGGGGCTGCGCTTCCCACTCCACCCGTTGTTGATCGAATTCCTCAACATGGTGGACCTTCTTCCGTGTCAACTGGTCCTTAACTCTCACCGGTACATCGCCGGTTATCTGGTCCGGTGCAAAGATGTGGGGGTGAAGCCGACCTTGGACCACTTCGTATTTACCTTCAAGCTGAGCAAGGGCCATAAAGATTGGGCGTCCTATGCCAGCCTTTCCCAGAGGTCCAGTAAACTCTTTGCTAGCGACAAGAAGGGATCCACCAAAGACTGGAAGCCTTTCTTTGTCTTTGTTTCGACGGGGCCCGAATCTCCTTTCACGGGTTCTGGGCATCCTTCTTTTCGTCGCATCCCGTGCCCCCCGCCTGATGCCACCCTCTTGTCCATCACTCGCCAACTTTGCAACAAAGGAGTCATGAACATCAAGAAGGTGGTGATAGAGGAAACCCTCGCCGGGCTGGGATTTGAGTTCGTCCAGGATGATCTTCGTCACCAGCCCGACCTTCTAAGGGACACTTCTGGGGGGTACCAGCCTGACCAATTGAGAGACATCCCCGAAGAAGGTCTTGACTGTGGTCCCTTTGGTAATTGACCGTTTCTTTTGCCCAAGCGTCTGGTTTATCTCCTTCTTAGGCTAACCATTAATCGTTTTCACTGTTTTCAGTCGAGTCGCCAGATCTAGAGGAAGAGATGGATAGCGATCTCCTGCTCAGTCGCTTTACAGCAGGGAAGAAGAGAAAGAGGGAAACGAAGGGCCAAGGCAAACGCCCTTCATCCCACCAAAGAGAAAGTCCTCCCCGAGAGCCAGCTGTAATTGTGGTGGAGGACCAAGAGGATGCTACCCAGGAACCGGGTACCATGGCTAGCCAATCCCCTCCACACTCCGTGATGCCGGGTGGCGACCTCACTGGGTCGTCCCAGGGTATTGCCTTGGAGCGACCTCCCTCACCACCCGCAGTGACCTACGAGGTGGCGACCGGGGGTCGCTCGACGAGGCTCTGCATCCCTCCTCCGCCCCAAAGCCTAGGGGACGTACAGCTGGAGACTCTGATCACTCTGCCTGCAGAAGACCAGGCTCGTATCTCAGCAGGCTCTGAGGACGACCTTGACAACATGGTCCTCTTGAGGCTTAGTCAGGTACTGGTTTTGATCTCCTATACATCACTCCTTTTCTTTATGCTCCTAACCCTCACCCCTTTGCGCAGGCCACGCTGGGGATGATTGAGGTGGTCGGCAGGAAACGGGGTCGCCAAGCTGCCGCGGACGAGGCGATGAAAGCAGCCGAGGCCAAATAGAAGGAATTGCAGGAAGAGGTCGCTCAATTCACAAGGGAGCTGGAGGAGAAGGAAAATCGCTGCGCGGCGCTTGCTGTGGAGAAAGCTTCCCAGGAGAACCGCTGCGTCGCCCTCGAGGCAGACAAGGCCTCACTGTCCTCGGAGGTAGAGTCAGTTTCTGCTTGCGTGGTTGAGCTGGAAGGGGAGAAGTCTGACCTGATGCGTGGAGAAAGATGCCCGAGCCCGAGCCCGAGCCCGAGCCCGAGCCCGAGCCCGAGCCCGTTGCGTGGAGGAGGCGATCGAGTCCTTCAAGTCCTCCCCTGACTTCACGACGACTGCTCTGGAGCGGATGGACAAGTTGACAGCCGAATGGCTCTAAACTGAACCTGGGGCTCAGTGGATGGTCAGGGAAGGGACCAAGTCCTTCAATTGTGGACTCTTCCGCGCCCAACAGGTCTTTCGCAGCAGACTGGCTCAACTCCCCAAAGGATTTTCCCTTCCCGACCTTGGCTTCCCTCCTCCCTGCCGCTCCTTGGCCGAGTTCGACCCCAGTCCTTACTTGGACGGGGGGAGCTCGAGTGCTTCGGAAGAACAAGAAGAAGAAGAAGTGGAAGGTGGTCAGGGCGACCAGAATCCGGGGACCAGCTTAGCCACGTCCAAGGCGGGTGGAAATCCCAGCTCGAGCGCCTAACCTCCCCTGTTGTTCCCCCAGAGTTTTGTAAACACTTGTTGTTTTTTCCTTTGAAATGATTTGTCGTTTTGATACAATGTTCCCATGTTATTTGACTTGCTGGATTCATCACGTGCTTCCCTTTTTCAGCGTTTTACTCTCTTCTCTAGTTTAGCTGATCTGCATGTATGTTTTAGTTTGGGCCCAACTCCTAATCCCGGCCCGTTTATCTGTCCAGGCCCAATCTCTGGATTGGCCAGCGTGCCACCCAACTGACCCAATGCCTCTCACAGTCTCTGATTGGACCTTCGCGCGGCTCAAAGCTGCTTTATCGGTTCAGCTGCCTTGAGACTTGACCGTCTCTTCGGTTCCTTCGCCTGCGCTTATTTATAAGCCCCCCTAGCATCTACTTTGCTCTATCACCAAATATTTTCCCTTCCTCCATCTTTGCCATGTCTGAAGGAATTCTTGTTTCTCTGAATCTTTCCGACGGGCCGGCTCCTTCTTCGCCGGAACCTGCCTCCTCCCCCAGGTCAGTCAATTCTAATGACTGGGGGGGCTAGACCCTTACAAATTCTGTCGCCGATTGCCTCGCCAGCAGTGGCCGTCGGTGAAACCGCTACCACTACCGCCAAACCCTTATGAAGACTTCAGCGAGGCGTACAAGGCCCTCTCCACCAACCGTCTGCCTGACGGGCGGATTGATTGGGACGCTCCATGCCCCCTCCATTACCTGCAATGCATGGCCTGGGAGAGCTTTCAAGATGAGCACTTACCCCTCCTGGAGCATGAGTGCGCATACTACGCAAGTCTTGAGCGATGGACTAGCGAAAGTCGCACCAGTTCGCCAATGAGGCCTAAGGAGGAGGTTGTGTTGGGGGGAGAACTGGGTTCTTCCCTACCTCGCCCCACCGGCCACTCACCTCCCCGGAAGGCCCCTAGGCGACCTGGAGTAGCTCGAGCGGCTTCAGGATCTCCATCCTCGTCTAGATGATGCTGGTAGGGGTTCACTGAGAAGGGAACCGCCCCCCGTCCTTCCTGGGTAGGAGAAGGGCGGTGGGTTTTTACCGAGGCTGGGGGCGACCACTCCCGTTCCATGATGGGGAAGAAAGGTGGTCGTCTTGGACGGCCGGTGATCGAAGTTCTTCCGGCTTATACAGCTGCAGAACTACCCTTCAAACCTGCCTGTCCCCCCTAGACCCTTTGTCCTTCCTGGACCTCAGCTACTCACAAAGTTTTAGATTGTTTTTCATTGTAGGAAATGTATGGGAAAGTATCCCTCCTTATGTAGAGATTGTTCTCAACTGTATTGTAGCAGATGCTAGAGATTATCCTTGAAATGTAATGAACACTTTCGCGAATGTATTTTGATGTTACCTGTTTACTTACAAGTTTCATCTTCTTCCCTTTCATATCTTGCTTTAAGCGTTCAGGTTTCCCCAGACCTTAATCAAGGAATACCCCCAAGATCCCCTGGTCGCTCACGCGATCAACAGATCTTATGTTCCGGACTTAGCCGTTTTCTCAGGCTTTCTTGCCACGGTGTCGTCCTCTGGTTAGTCGCGTCGCTTGACAACCCTCAACCTTGGTCGCTTGACAGGGTTCGACGCTTCACCCACTATTGGGTATCTTAGCACGAATCACCATGCAGTTTGGGCTTAGCGATCTCTTGTGGTCGCTCCTTTTTTTTTTGAGAATTGGAGACAAGATGTGCCAGAATGCTGGTTTTATTAAACTTCAAGAGAGAGACATGGCTGGAATACAATCTATTGATAAAATTTAATAAGGTTGGCGGCATTCCACACTCGTGGAACGTCGCCACCGGCTGGAGTCTGCAATCGAAATGTCCCATCAGCCAACACCTCCTTTATGATATATGGCCCTTCAAAGCTTTTAGCAAATTTCCCTCCATCGGTCGGCCGGCTGACCTCCCTTTTCTGAAGGACCCAGTCGCCCACCTTGAACTGCCTTGGTCGCACCCGCTGGTCGTGATATGACTTGACCTGCCGGCGGTAGTTTTCTGCCCGCATGTATGCCCTTTCCCTTCGCTCATCAATGAGGTGCAGCTCTGCCCTCAAGTTCTCTTCATTCTCTTGAGCGTCAAACATCTCCACTCTATAACTCAGCAATGAGGTCTCCGCTGGAGCCCTTGCTTCAAATCCATATGTGAGCGAGAAAGGAGTTTCACCTGTGGCCTTCCTTGGGGTAGTTCTGTAGGTCCACAAGATGTAGGGCAATTCCTCCACCCAGGCACTTTTGCATTCCATTATCTTCTTCTTGAGACCGTCCACGATGGTACGGTTAGTGTTCTCGACTTGTCCGTTGGTTTGGGGGTACCCGACCGCTGCATAACTGTGCTTTATGCCCCAGCTCTGTAAAAACTCATTGAATCCTCTAGCCTCGAACTAGGTTCCATTGTCGGTGATGATCTGCTGGGGCACCCCAAATCGGCACAAGATTTGCTTGGAAACGAACTTCCTCATCTGCTCTTCGGTGATGGTCGGCACGGGAGCAGCCTCGACCCACTTGGTAAAGTAGTCGATTGCGACCACCAAGTATGTGTTGTTCCCTGTCCCCCGAGGCAAGATGCCAACCAGATCGATGCCCCACCGGGCAAAGGGAATCGCCGTGCTGATCGGGGTATAATTCGTCGCCGGTCGCTCCGGCACCCTCTGGAATTCCTGGCAAACCTTGCATTTGCGCATGTACTCTGCGCAATCTCTGATAATCGTAGGCCAAAAGTATCTTTGTAAAGTTACCTTCCTGGACATCGTGAAGGCTCCCTGATGTGCTGAGCATATTCCTTCATGGATTTCCTCCATTAACTTCTGCGCCTCGCCCGCTCTTAAGGACCTCAACAATGTACCATTGTAAGATCGCTTGTACAGCCGACCGCACTCCAGCGTGTAGCTGGGTGCACGTCGCTTTACCAGCTTTGCTGCGATTGGGTCGGTAGGTAATGACCCGTCAAGGATGTACATGGTAATCTCATCAATCCAATCCGGCTCCTCTCTGAGTGTGATGATTAGCACTTGTCCAGGACTGATGCTTGGCTCGAGCAACTCTTCTTCCTGGGTCATTGCCTTAATGTGATCTGGGGAATCCGGGCCAAGTTTGGACAAGATATCTGCCTCGACGTTCTCTTCTCGAGGGACTTGTTCTATCCGGTACGCACCAAATGCTTTAAGCAACTCCAGGGCGGTGTCCCTATACTTCTTCATCCGCTCATCCTTGGCCTCAAACTCTCCAGTGACATGGCCTACTACTAGCTTGGAATCGCATCGGACTTGGATTCGCTCAGCTTTTAATGAAGCCGCCAACCTCAAGCCGCAAAGCAATGCCTCATATTCAGCCTCATTGTTCGAGACTTTGAACCGGAATCTCACGGAGTAGTACGCCTTGAACCCTTCTGGTGATATCGCCACGACACCTCCCCCCGAAGCATCAGTTGCGGACGATCCATCGGTGTACACTGTCCACCAGTTCCCTTCGGGGTCTTCTCCATTAGGCTCTACCTCTCTCGCAGTGCATTCCACCACGAAATCTGCTAATGCTTGCCCCTTTATCGCCGGTCGCGGCTTAAACTCTATCTGAAAAGATCCCAGGAACACCCCCCACTTGCTGACCCGTGACGGGGCATTTGGGCTTCGAAGAAGTGTTCCGATGGGAACTTGTGATAACACATGGACCGGATGGGCTTGGAAATATGGGGTGAGCTTCTTCACCGTACATACCACCGCGAAGATGGTTTTTTCCATGTTTGTATATCTCAGTTCTGCCCCTCGCAGCACCCGGGCCACATAGTACACAGGCCGCTGTGTGCCCTCCTCCTCCCTCACGAGCACCGAGCTCACAGCTCGAGGAGAGATTCCTAAGTATAGGAATAGGGTCTCTCCGGGCTCTGGCTTCGAAAGCACCAGTGGGGAGAGGAGATATGCTTTTAACCCTTCAAAAGACCGTTGACATTCCTCGGTCCAGACGAACCCTCTACTCTTCTTAATGGTCTGAAAGAAAGGAGCCGCTCGATCAGCTATTTTTGACAAGAAGCGATTGAGAGCAGCAATCCTGCCGGTGAGCTGCTGGACCTCCTTCACATTTCGCGGAGGCTCCATCTCCAAAATCGCCTTTACCTTCTCCGAATTAGGCTCGATCCCTCTCTGGCTGACCATATGTCCTAGGAATTTACCCCCCTGAACCCCAAATGTGCACTTCTTGGGGTTAAGGCGAAGCTGGAACTTCTTCATGATCTTGAATACTCTCTCCAGGTCGCCGGTATGAGACTCCGTCCGTTTGGACTTGACGATCATGTCGTCCACATATGCTTCCATGCATCCCCCTAGCACTGGCGCGAACAGCTTGTTCACCATCCGTGCATAGGTAGCCCCAGCATTCTTCAAACCAAAGGGCATCACCTTGTAACAATACACCCCATTGGGGGTGATGAAAGCAGTCTTCTCTTCATCCGCCACGGCCATCTTGATCTGATGGTACCCACTGAATGCGTCCATAAAACTCATCAGCTCACACCCTGCCGTCTCATCAACCAACTGATCAATGTTAGGGAGAGGAAAAGGATCCATCGGGCAGGCTTTATTCAGATCAGTGTAATCGACGCACATTCGCCAGGTATTCCCTTTGGGTGCGAGGACTACATTTGCCAACCATTCCAGGTAGCGGACTTCCCGGATGTGCCCAATGGATTGTAGGGTTGTCACCTGCTTGGTGACAAACTCTCTTCGTTCTGAGGAAAGGAAACGTTTCTTCTGTTTGACCGGCTTGTGGGTCGGATCCACTGCCAATCTATGACAGATGATTTTTGGGTCGAACCCTGGCATATCCTCTGGACCCCAAGCGAATAACACCTTGAATGCTTGGAGGACCTCCAACAACTGCTCCTTTAATTTAGGTGGTAAGGTTTTACCCACCTTCACCTTCCGCTCTGGCTTGGCCGGGTCCAAAGAAATTTCTTCGACTTCTTCCGCCGGCTCAGCTCGAGGTCGCCCCTCCTCCTTCTGGATTGCCGCACAGATCGTGCTCACATTCTCGTCGACCCGAGCTTGGCTTTTGGTCGCCCTAATGTAGCAGGACCGGGATAGGCTCTGGTTCACCTTTGCCACCCCCACCCCTGTGGGAGTATTGAATTTTAGGCATAAGTGGACGGGGGAGATTACGCACTCCAGGTCCTCCAACCCTGGTCGCCCCAGAATTAGATGGTGTGCACAGTCGAGCTGCACTACCATAAATTCCATGTCGACCCAGAGTCGGTGGGTGCCATCTCCTACCCCGGCCTTCACCGTGATAGTTCCTTCAGCTTCGATAGTATCCCCTGTGAACCGTGACAATGGCGTATGGATCGGTTTCAGGTCGCTTCGGGACAACCCCAACTCCTTAAAGGTGTTGCTGTACATAACATTGACCGAGCTGCCCGTATCGACCAAAGTCCGGTGAATAACCACATTATTAATTTCCACCTTTATCACCAGAGCATCCCTGTGAGGGCTGAGGACTGGGGGATAATCCTCGTCTGTAAAGATCAGAGGTTCCTTCTTCTTCCGCTTAGGCAGCGGCGGCCTTTGTACCTCGGCCATGTACACCATGTTCTTCCACTTCTTCCGGGAAGATACCGAGTCCCCTCCAGTGTTTCCTCCCATGATGAACCGACACCCTAGGTGTCGGCGACCTTGCCTCTCTTCCTCATCTAGATCGTCACAATCTCTTCCTAGATGCCGTCGTCCATCCTCCTACCCCTCTCCCGCTGTGATCGCTGCCGTGGGAGCTGGCAGCCTCCTCCAGGTCTGGTTACTTGAGGACGGTCGCTCCAACCGAGGGGCGGCCCCCTAGCGATCAACTGATCCATCTCCTTCTTCAGCGTAACGCACTCCGACGTGTTGTGGGTGCTGTTACGGTGGTACTCGCAGTATTTGGGTGCATCTTGCACACTATAGCTTTCCCGACTGTGAGGAGGGCAGGCGACGACTGTACCGCATGAACAGGATGCCTGTTCGCATGATACCCGGTGGGGTTCGGCCCCTTACCATAGTCCTTCCTCTTCTTTCCTTCTGCCACTGGTGGCCCGCTTTTCTTCTCGTTCCGGACTAGTGGCTCATCATCATCTTCTTCCAACGCCAGGTACTTCGCCCTAGCCAACATCTCTTGATAGGTCGAGAGAGGATTCCGTCGCAGCTCCTTACGCACATCCCCTTGGGGGAGTGCAGCTTGGAGCATGGCGATCAAGGCTTGGTCGTCCGCCCCTTGGACGTCCCTAGCCTCCTTCTCCCACCTATTATTGAACTCCCAGAGCTGTTCCCCCTTCCGAATCTTCACATTGAGCAAATGCGAGAAGGGGAGCTTTTGTCTCCGGCTGGATGCAAAGTGCTCCAAGAACTTGTGGGCCAGGTCGCTCCACTTATCTATCGACCCCTTGGGTAACTTGTGGAACCACTCACAAGCCTGCCCTTCCAGTTTCGCCAGGAAACACCTACACTTGATTTCTTCTGGGTATGCATACATGACCACGTTTGCCCCGAAGCGAGCGAGGTGGTCCTGGGGATCGGTCGTCCCGTTGTACGCCTTGATCTGGGGAGTCTTGAAATTATCCGGGAGAGGACAAGACATTATTCCTCTGGAGAAGAGCGTTACCTCACTGAAAACCGCTTGGCGGTAGGGGTTCTGGGCATCTAGCCGCTTCTCCAGTTGTTCGTACATTCTCCACAGCTCGGCTGCGCCCTTGTCCTCGACTGTCGTCCGTCGCTCCTCAGAACCGATCTTGGAGGTCGCTGTGGACTCCCCTCTTTTCTCCTTGAGCGTGTCCCTCAAGTCGGCTTTTCGGGCCGACCAAGAATCCTGCAACCGTTCGAACGCAGAAGTCCGAGGTTTCTTTGATTTGGATCTCCCAAACGGTCAAAAGCAGACATCCGCTCGAAGGAGGACGACTCGTCCTCTTCGTCCAGTCTCGAAAGCGCATCTGCCATCACAGCCTTCCCATTAGGCTTGGTCGCCTTCTTCTTCTGGGACCGTCTTACTTTCTTCTTTTTCCCTTGGGAGCCCGCAGGTCCAGCCTTCCCGCCTGTGGGTCCCCCAGCCACATCTTCTACCATAATCTCGCGATTGGGCGTAAGTACAGCCAACACCTCCTTGAATTGTTCGGCTGTGATCCCAACCATAGTTTTAAAAAACGGACCGGACCGGCCAGTTTTTTTTTTTTTTTTTTTTTGCAATCTTTTTCCAAAACTTCACTCCATAGGGATTTGAAACCAAGACCTCTTAGATATCTGATTGAGTTCCTAACCATCCAACTAACGGTACTTGTTGTTACAAATTCGTATTATATTTTATAATATTTCATAATTAATTAAAAAATTTGATACAAATAACTTTTCAATTTTAAAAATATAATACGTAGTATTATATAGATATGAGTCAAACACAAAATCATTGATATTTTTTTAAATAAAATTTTAATACCGAGTATTATTTTTTAATATGTAAATTTTATCATTTAATTGAGTAAAATAACTCAAGTATATTAATATAATTTTAGTCAAATATTATAAATTACTTTCTTTATGTATTTATATATGGGAATGTGTGTCTGTGTGTGTGTCTATATATATATATATATATATATATATATATATATATATATATATATATATATATATATATATATATATATATATATTATATATATACACATATATATATATATATATATAATTTTTAAATATGTTTAAACCACCGGTTCGACCAGTTGAACCACTAGTTCGACCAGTTAACCAGTGAACCAGTACCTTGACCGGTTCGGTCACCGGTCCGTTTCTCAAAACTATGATCCCAACCCTCTGGATGAGGGCCTCAGCCTCCCCCGTGGTGATGGGGGGGTGCCGGCCTCCAGTGGCGCTGTTCTCTCCCTGTTGGGGAACTCCGGTACCTACGTTGGCGTTGCTACGTGTTTGCACCATCGTTTTTGTGGAGGATTTCCTCTGAGTATGATCCTCGAACTCTCAATGAAAGCACCAACTTGATGGACAATAAACCCACCAAATGATCCGATTCAAAAAGCGGATCGTAAGAACAAAATTAAGAATGAGAATTCGAGAATTGGATATATATTATTAGCTTGATCTAGCTTGAGTTCTCCCCTCTCGGGTCTCATCTATTTATACATGAGCTCTAAACCATTAAAGTAACGCATAATCGATGGAGTCTATCCCGCCAAGGGCACGATCCCCTTTTCCCGGCTCCGTAACCGCCAATCTGCTCCGTCTTGTTCTCCGGATTGACTCTGCCAGCTGCCCTTGGCCTGAGGTTAACCAGGCTTAGCTCCACGGGCCGGCCCAAGCCTGGGTATTCTCCAAATGCCTGGCCCGAAGTTGTGTAAATGGTTCATTTGGGCCACCCACTGGGTATCGGCCCATCACTTTCATTGCATTCAAACATCATCATTTTCCATAGCTTTCTAGAGCCATTTTGTGTGAAGGTTGAGTTGTTCTTGAGCGTACTTAGTTTACTCATAATCTACTCTATAAGAGAGTCTCGTTCTTGAGTCTACTTGTGTTCTTAGACACGTTGAGAGATAGTATCTCTCTCGGTTGATTCAAAGGAAGGTCTATTTCCTTTGAAGGATTCGTTGAGGTTCGTGTGACTCGAACTCTCAAGTTGTAACGGTTTGTTAAGCACCCGCAATCTTAACGAGATAGTAGTGTAGCTCGAGAGAGTCTCTCGGGAGGCTGGATTAGCCACAAGTTGTGGTGAACCAGGGTAAAATTCGGTGTGCCTTTTACTCTTCTCTTTACTTCTCTTTTAATTTTTTTAATTCCTGCGATTTCTCCGATCAAACGTTATTCACCCCCCCTCTAGCGTTGGTCTATTATTCTAACAATAAGAACTGTTCATAAAATCCTTGAATCTGGTTTTTTCTAGCCCACCATGTCTAAGGACACTGCTGAATTTTGTAAAAATTGCCCTAGGTGTCAGCAAACTGGTTCTTTAACTAAAAGAGATCAAACGCCCTTAACCTCCATCCTTTTTTGTGAGATTTTTAATATCTGGGGTATGGATTTTATGGGACCATTTCCTCCATCAAATGGTTTTCAATACATCTTGGTTTTTGTTGATTATCTGTCTAAATGTATTCTGCTTCTGCTGTGGAAAGTGACACAGAGTTCTGTTTCTTGCTCAACCATGCTACAAGGTTTCCTCCTAGAAAGAAGCAACCTCTTGATGTGCTTTTCTTGTCATCTATATTACCTGCCCAGTCTGCATCACTATAAGCCATAAGTTCTGCCATTCCTCCTTTTGAATACCATAACCCCATGTTCTGAGTGCCTTTGACATATTTTAATATTCTTTTGACGGCTTTGAGATGTGACTCCTTAGGATTGGCCTGATATCTAGCGCACACTCCAACACTGTAACACAGATCTGGTCTACTTGCTGTTAGATATAGTAGACTCCCTATGATGCCTCTATAGCGTGTAGCATCAATCTCCTTCCCATTGTCATCCCTACTGATTTTCTCGTGTGTTGGACACGGTGTTCTGGCACTCTTACTGTCACTCATCTCAAATTTCTTCAACATGTTCTGCCCATATTTGGTCTGAGATATAAATATTCCTTCATCAGTTTGCTTTATCTGCAACCCCAGGAAAAAGGTTAATTCGCCTATCATACTCATCTCAAACTCTTTTTCCATCACTTTGACAAATTCATCAGCCTTTGCTTTGGAGGTGGATCCAAACACAATATCATCCACATAAATCTATGCAACCAGCAGATCAGATTTGTACCATATGTAGAACATGGTGTTGTCTGCTCCCCCTCTCTTGTATCCCTCCTTGATTAGATAGGAAGTTAACCGTTCGTACCATGCCCTAGGTGCCTGCTTCAGCCCATACAGTGCCTTGTGCAGTTTGTATACGTAGTCTGGATGCTTGGAATCTTCAAATCGTTTTGGTTGTGACACATACACTTCTTCCTTTAGATATCCATTTACAAATGCAGTCTTGACATCCATTTGGTATAATTTCATGTCTAATATGCATGCCATGCTTATGAGCATGCGTATGGACTCAAGGCGAGCCACTGGAGCAAAGGTTTCCTCAAAGTCGATTCCCTCCATCTGTGTATAACCTTGGGCAACTAGACGGGCCTTGTTTCTGATGACATTTCCAGCCTCATCTGTTTTGTTTCGGTATATCCACTTTGTACCAATAACGTTTGTGTTTTCAGGTTTTGGAACCAGTTCCCATACCTTATTCCTTTCAAACTGCTCTAGCTCCTCATGCATGGCATTTATCCAAGCTTCTTCTTTCAGTGCCTCTTTGATGTTTTTAGGTTCCAGGGATGATGTATAGTATGCTTTTGTCATCTCTAGAAAGTCAATCTTCTTCTTCCGTGTCTTCACTCCTTCAGTGGGTGACCCTATGATGTTTTCCAGAGGATGGGTTTTCTGAATGTGTGTGGGAACATTACTGGTTATGGGACACTCGGTTTGAGTATCTGTAGAAACATCTTTTCCATCTTCTTCATCCTCAGTGTCTTCTTCACGTATTTTTCAGTGTTATTAACCTCTAGTGAGTCATCTACTGCCTTGGGCTGGAGCTGATCATCTACCACTACATTTATTGACTCCATTATAGTTCTTGTTTATTTGTTGTATACTCGATAATCCTTGCTATTTGGTGAGTATCCAACAAAAATGGCTTCGTCGCTCTTTGGCTCAAACTTCCCTTTCTGTTCCCTGTCTCTTAAGATGTAGCATCTTGCTCCGAAAATGTGAAAGTGAGCAACACTTGGTGTCCTCCCCTTCCACAGTTCATAGGGTGTAGCCATTGTTCCACTTCTAAAGTACACACGGTTGATTGTGTAGCATGCTGTAAGAACTGCTTCAGCCCACAAATTTTGTGGCAATCCATATGAGCTGATCATCGTGCGTGCCATTTCTTGAACATACCTGTTTTTCCTTTCTGCCACTCCGTTCTGTTGTGGAGTTTTTTGTGCTGAGAATTCATGCCAGATGCCATGCAGATCATAAAATTCTTTGAAAGGTCCATTGTCAAACTCCCCTCCATGGTCACTACGTACTCTTATGACCTTTGTAATCTTCAGTTGTGTCTCATTTTGGACTTTGTTGCATAGGGCTTCAAAGGCATCTAGTGCATCATCTTTATGTTTTAGAAAACTGACCCACGTATACCTGGTGAAGTCGTCCACTACCATGAGGACAAACCTTTTTCCGCCTAGGCTTTCAGTTTGCATGGGGCCAAATAAATCAATATGCATGAGCTCCAATGGACGATTTGTTGATCTCGTGGATTTCATGGGATTACTTGCTCATGTTTGTTTCCCCATTTGACATGGTCCACACACTTGCTCATTTACTTGCGTAATTTTTGGCATTCCTCGAACTGCTCAAGATCGTGACAAGGTCTTGAGGTCCTTGTAGTTCATATGCCCTAGCCTGTAGTGCCACAACCTGGCATCCCTTTCACTGGCTGTGTAACAAAGTATATTTGGAGTAACTTTGTAACAGTTGTCTGTGGTCCTGTCACCTTCCAAAATAACAAATTTGTTTCTGTCCTTGATACGGCACTTTTGTTGAGTAAACATCACTTCAAGTCCTTGGTCACAGATTTGGCTAATGCTCAGCAGATTCACCTCTAGTCCTTAGACCAGCCATATATTTTTGATTGGTGGTAGCCCTGAGACATGCAGTGTTCCAATCCCGATGATCTGTCCATGTGCACCGCCACCAAAACGTACATTTCCTCCTTCCATTGGTTGAATGTTCGATAAGTTCTGTTTATCTCCAGTCATGTGATGAGAACACCCACTATCAAGCAGCCATTGGTCTGGCGTGACTCTAAGACATGAGTTGGCGCTTGAGGCCATGTGTTTTGGTACCCACTTCATCACGGTTCTAGTAAACCCTTTTGCCGTACCCCTCTTTCTCTTTTTGTACTTCAGCTGGTGACACTATCTTTTAATATGTCCCTTTTTCCTGCAATAGAAACAAACATAATTCCAGTAATAGTTAGGGAAAGAATGTTTCCTTACATGAGTGTGAGTGGGCTGGACTGCTTCCTTCTTGTCTCTGCTGTATTCTTCCAGTTCTTCTTCAGAGATCTTTGTTCTTGTTACAAACAGATCAAGCGGAGTCTTACTACTTTCGGGTAGTGTGTGCCCAATGCCGATTCTGTCTCCATAAAACCTTGACTTGTCTACCAGAGTCTCAATCTGTTCTGCACCTGCGCTCTTCATCCACGTTTGATAGTTTTTTAGTTGTGTGAGCTCATACTTTAGTTTCACCTTTTCTCCTTTTATCTGTTCCAGTTGCTGCATGGTTTCATCAAGTTTTCTACGAAGGCTGTCCACCTCTTCCTGAAGCACCTCAAGTTGATTAGTGAGACTATCTGGGTCTTCATTGTGGACTTGCGTGGTGAATGCACAGTTGCTGTTCCCTAGGACTTCTTCAGAATCATCTTATTCATCACTCCAGGTTGACACAAAAGCTTGTCGTTTCTTTTTGAGATTATTGGCACACTCTGATTGAATATGCCCCAACCCCCCACATTCAAAGCATTGAGGTCCTCTTCGTTTTGTGTCATCAGTTGGCGCCCTGCTCTCCTTTGGCCTTGGATTCCTAAATTGAAATCCCTTTGAGGATTCAGCTTGATAATTTGTTCTTCCTTTCTTCTGCATCCACTACTTCTTGAACTGCGTGGTGATGAGGGATAACTGTTCTTGATAATCTCCATCTAATGGGTCTTCATCATCTTCCTTCTCTTCAGTAGTATGGCTGTGGAATGCAATCTGTTTGACACTCTTCTTCTGTTTGATTTCTTAGTTCGTTTGAAGCTCAATGGTCTCAAGATTTCCCATCAGTTGATCGAGTGTCATATTCTTTATGTCATGTGCTTGACGAATTGCTTTAGCATCCATTGCATAGCTTTCTGGTAGAGCTCTCAGTACCTTCAGCACTAAGCTGTCTTCAGTGAAGGGCCTTTTCAGAGTTTCAGCCTCATTTGCAAGTTCTCTTACTCTCCCATGGAATTCAGCTATCTTTTCTTTATCGTCCATGCGCAGATTCTCATATTTAGTCATGAGAATTTGTAGTTTAGCAGTTTTTACGCGTTCATCCTGATAAGTTCATTTTGTTCTTATTTTATTCTACATGTTTTAAGCGTTATTGCACGAAAATAGCGATAAGCAGCGCATAATTTTATGTTAAAATGAACAATATCCTTGATTTGTTCTTTAAGGAATAATAATTGGTTTAAAGTTCGCCCAGTCTAGATTGTTGATTTTTTTGCTCATACTTGAAAGAAAAAGAAGTTTTTAACTGAGAATTTTATCATGAGAATATCAGAGGAAGCTGAAACAAACTGCAAAGCGAAGTAAAAATTGAAATTGGGCCTGAATTGGATCAAGCCGCGGAAAAAGCCCACAGGAGAAGGCCCGAAGCGTCCAAGCCTTGGACGCTTTGCAGGTTGGACGCTTCCCCTTGGACGCTTGGCAAAGATTGGGCATCACGAAAGCCACGTGGCGAGCAGCGAATGGACGCGCCGTGTAAGGCGTCCAACTTTGGACGCTTTGGATCTGGACGGCTGGGGTTGGACGCTTCGCGTCCAGTCCTATAAATACAGCACCCCCTCTCCGATTTGATACGCTGCACAGCGCCCATCTCTCCCTCTCAAGTCCGAATTTCTCCATTTTTAGCCTAGATTTACCAAGCTACTTTCATATTTTAGATTAGTATTATTTCTTGGAGTTTTCACGAAGCAATTTGTAGCCCGAACCTCCAGTTCTTCAATTTGTCGAAGTAAGTTTTGTCAACTCTCTACTTTTAATTGAAAAATGTCTTCTTATGATGCATGTGTGTTGAAGGTTTTTATTATGAGTAGCTAAATTAATTAGGGATGTGATTATTGGAATGGTGATGGTAATTTTCTGAGAAAATCATTGAGTTGAATTATATTATTGTCAAGACAAATTACTAGTTTTTATTACTGAGAATTTATACTTGAGATTTGTAAATCGAGAGAAGGCAAATCTATTCTTGAAAATTATATTTCTTGAGAGATCTGGAATTTAATTAAGTCAAGCCCAGTAATTCGATAATTGATCTTTAGACATTGGATTGATTGTTAAGTAAATATTTGAAAAAAATACTTACTTACTAGTAAAAAGATTTAGAGTAAAAGTAACCGGTGATTTTACTCTAAAAAGAATCATCACCTCACCAATAATTACATCCCTACTCTTTATTCCTGAAAGGTAAAACTCGATCTCCATTCCTTATTCGACCCATTGAAAACTTTTCAATTCAACGAGTAAATCTTGTCTAGCTAGTCTTGCTAAACTTTCCCTTGGGCTGATCCTTGAGACGACACGGGGTAAACTGATCTTTTAAAAAGGTCTAGTCTGTTCCCTTTACTACTACGGGAATTTTGATTTAAACCAAAATTCTTCACCAAATGGCGCCGTTGCCGGGGATCGGCGCAGAAGGTTATTAGTAAGATTTCTTTTTAGCCTGAAAGAAAGTTGATAGAAACGATTTTCATATAAAAAAAACAATAAATACTTTTGTTTTAATTTAGTTTAAAATATTTTCCCACTTAATTTGTTAAACTTTTATTTCCCTTTATTAAAGCGTTCCTAGGTTCAACTTTTATTTTCAAATATATATATATATATATATATATATATATATATATATATATATATATTCTTGAATATTACCTTTTTAGTTATCATTAGGTGGTTGTTTGAATTCTTCCTCTAGCCTTCAAAATTGTATGAACACTCGTTCTCGCGGTGAGAACATTCTTCCGGGAACCAAAAACCCCGAACTTTTGCTCCGACGCCGCACCGTCAGAGTTCCTCGTCAACTGGAGTTCAACGACGAAGAGCGAAGAGAAGAAGAAGAAGAAGAGGAAGAAAATCACGAAGAAGAGAACCAACACTCAGAAGAAGAAGAAGAAATGGCGGCTAATCCCAGACGAACGATCCTTCAAGCTATGAGCCCCGCGTACGTAGAGGAAGATCCCATAGGTCTCCCCGCTAGTCAAGCCCATTCATTTGAAATCAAACCAGCAATGATCCAAATGGTCTCGAATAACCAATTTGGAGGCTCAAAAACTAAAGATCCAAGGGCACACATGCTATGGTTTTCGAGGACCTGCCAAACATTCCAGTCCAACGGTTTATCTATGGATCGTGTTAAACTATCGCTCTTTCCCTTCTCCCTTCGGGATCGTGCCGCCAGATGGTTGAACACATTTCCTAACGGCCACTTCAAGACCTGGGAGGCATTGCACCAGGCGTTCATGCACGAATATTTTCCACCCTCCGCCATGGTAAAAATTAAGAACTCCATCCAAAACTTCCATCAAGCGCCTATGGAATCAATGAGCGAAGCATGGGAAAGATTCAAGGAGTTGAAGGTTAAATGCCCACCTACTTTAGTTGATTCCGATAGTTTGATGTTCTACTTTTACCAAGGCTTAACGGTACCATCTAAGAAGGAATTGGACCACTCTTCTAAACTTGGTTCTTTTCTGGAGATGACACCCGAGGAGAATGAGGAGTTAGTAGATAGACTTACGTCGAATGCTAAATATTGGTAAGAAGACCGAGGTCCTCCTCCTAAAGCTGGCATGTATGAAGTAGACCAATTCACAGCTCTCAAGGCTAGTATGGAGAGCATTGTGAAACAAACTATCAAGGAACACCTAGGAGCTTCCCATCCACGTCCCAATCAGTACACTGAACCGGTGAACCAAGCTGAACTCTATGGTTCTGGTAGTCACCACCAATCTGATCTTGTCTTGTCTTGT